AGCTGCGTGTCTCTCTCCTGCCCCAGACTTCTCTGCCTGCCCTGTGAACCACCCATTGTGACGTAGTCACCACTCTGAAGCATGAGCCAGGCAAGAATGGCAAAGGCTGTTGACACTGCCCGATAAGGACTCCTCTCCCGCCCCTCAGGTGGACCACTCTGGGCGCGTCCAGGACAGCTCCAGGGAGGGTGTGAGCAGGCTTGAGCCCGTGTTGGCAGCAGTGACCAGCTTGATGCATGCCCTTGGACTGGCTTGCCCACCTGCTTTCTCTCACTTCTTTCAGTCCCCCTCTCCCGTCCCCTGGAATCACTTACCGAAATAAACTTCCTGCACACAAACCCTTGTCTCAGGCTCTGCTTTCAAGGCTGCCTAGTCCAAGGTAACAGAGGACACAGTACACATGCCAGCTCACACAGACGTTGCACACACATGCTCACCCACACCTCCTTGGTCACGTGCATGCACACATGTACGCTACACACACCACTCTGGATCCTTCCGGGTTAGGTGTTTTTATCCACATAAAGGAACTCATCTGTAGTCAAGGAAAATGGAGACTTTGTTCTTCCAGCCTCCTCAGGGCTCTGCTTTTAAATGCCATTATTCCTACACTCCAGCGGGTTACTTCACTAAAACTCCAGAGTCCACTCACCTCGTGCCAGTGAAGCCCACGCCACGCTCACGGAAGAACAATCTTCTTTTAGTTTCTCTATGTGTGCCTAATCCCCAGCTTGTCTCCTTCCACCAACAGGAGGGAGGACGGATAGAGGCCAAGAGCTAGTCAGGGTTTGGTGACTGACAGCATAGGAAAGGAGCACAGGTGTCCCCACAAGAGGCTGGCGGGGCCAAAGTTACAGCCAGGCTCTGACTTGTAGTGTGACCCCAGCAGGTTTCATAATTTCTCTGAGCCTCAGTTTCCCCATATGTGAAATGAGGAGTTTTTTCCCCCAAAAAAACCGTAGAATTCAGAATTTTACTAATTCACGATCACCTCCCCAGGTACTCAGAACACTGGTACTGGGCGACTCTGTGGAGAGAAGGATGAGGGATTGAAGGTTAATGGACCAGGCACCGAGCTGGCCATGACATCATGACAGCCCTGATTTCATTTAACATTCACAGCAGCCTGCACTCGTAGCTCCACTCTACAATGTGGCCACTGGCATTCCAGAGTTCAAGCAATGCTCTCAGGGTCCATCAGATGATCAACGGCAGCACCAGGCTTGGACTGGGGCCTCTGAGCCCAAACCCATTTGCTCCCGCTGCTCCACGCCCCTGCTAACTGAAGGGGACGGGAAACAATATGGTGCACAGTCAGCATTCAAAGATTCCTGTGGGTCTCCTCTCACCTCCTAAATTGAAAGCTCCTTAGAGGGCAGGGTCCCATGGATGAAAATTCTCCCCTTAGCCCATGTATGAGGTTTTTATAGCTGCTGTAACAAATTGCCACAAACTTGGTGGCTTAAACCACACACATTTCTTCTCCTACAGTTCTGGAAGTCCAAGATGGTTTCATTAGCCAAACCAAGGTGTCAGCAGGGCCACATTCCCTCCAGAGGCTCTAGGGGATAATCCCTTGCCTTTTCCTGCCTCTGCAGCTGCATTCCTTGACTCATGGGACCTTCCTCCATCTGCAAAGCCGGTATCTTCTCACTCTGACTCTGCTTCCTTCTGCTTCTGTCCCACAGCCTTCCTCTCTTCTGTCGGTAGCCAAGTCTTCCTCTCCATTCCTCTTCTAGGGAAACTCGATATTACATTCAGGGGCCACCTGGACAATCCAGGATAATCTCCCCATCTCAAGACCCTTAACTTAATCACATCTGCGAAGACCCTTTCTCCACAGAGGGGAACATTCACAGGTTCAGGGATTAGGGCCTGCATATCTCTGAGGACCATTATCCAGCCTATCACAGCCCAGTTCAGAGAAAGTCTACGTGACTTTCTGAAGCCAAAGAAAGCCAGCCAAGTTTGGAGCCACCCTAGGAAAGGAACCCGGAAAGCTACTAAACAAGCAAGGCTGCAGCTGAGTCGTCACACGCACATACTTCAGATCCACGCAAAGGAGGCCAACCCACGGGACACTCATGAAACCTACAAAGTGCAAGGGCGTCCCTGATGCCTCGGCCTGCCTTGCCACACCTGCCTACTGTCCCCATCTGCTCAGGGTCCTCACATTTCGAGGCTCTCCTCCATAGCAGTGGACTCTCGGGAGAAAAGGATCAGGAATTTACTCTCCCAAGGGTTTGCAGCCTTAGCTTAACTTTTAGTAGTAGGATGAAAGGCCTTATCCTCTGCAGAGGGAATTTCCAGCAACAGAGACCAACTGGGGGCTTCCTACTGTTCCTGCAGGCAGCCAAGTAGGCCCTTTTAGCTTTTTTCTCACCAAGGAAACACTCAGTGACAAGCCAGAGACTTCATTTGCCCAGAAAATGCATTTCCATTGCAGCATCTTCAGCTGAGTGAAGATTCTGCTGCAGACTTGTCTTCCCTCCTGCATCGCTTCTCGCTAGCAATACCTGCTGTGCTTGCTTAACAGACCACAGCATCTGGGACTCCAGCTGCAGGAACGGCAGCCTCAGGGAGCCAGGGTACAGAGAACAGGTGAAAAGCAGGGTCCTCAAGTCTTTGTGGTCCAAATCCAAAAGCTGGATTCTCTGCATCGGTGGCTTTCTGCCTTCCTGCCTGCCTGCTGGCCTCATCCCAGTCACGAAAGCAGAAGGGAACAGTCAAGTCTGGCCCCAACTCCCTGCCACCTCCAGGCACCCCTCCTCCTCCCACGTGGTCCTCAACTCATCATTTGCCAGGTTTGATAGATCATGGAGGATGTTGAGAGGCTGAAAAACACTATAAACGTAAAGGAAATGAGAACTAATGGTGAGATTCAGGGTCCCACAACACGCCAGAGAGGGGGCTATTTGGGGGCAGGGAAGTCCCCCAGGTGACCCCCAGATCAAAACAAACAGGCCATGGCAGCGCCTTGTTTGCACATGTCCTCCTGGGCAAATACATTGTGCCTCGGGCCTCCTCTGGTTCTTACTGGAGGACAATTGGAGGGATTCACTGCAACCAATGTACCCAAGATGCGCTGCTTCTGGCCATCCACCAGGCCACTGCCCCAGCCACGCTGCCTCCATGCCCTCGAGAGTCAGAGCGGATTAAGTGTAGCCATCATGGCCCCAGCACATGAGTCCCTATGAGTCTCAAAGGGACTGTGGGCCTGGGACCTACGGACAGGGGTCCAGGAAAACAGGTTGGGTTTTCCAACCCCACCGTCAACCCCGCAGAGCTTGGCCAGCACTAACTTAGACACTCAAGTGTGTTACTTAACTTCCTGAGCCTCACTTTCCCCCACGTGGAAAGCGGAAATGCTGCCTCCTGGGGCTGTTGGGGAAACTAAATGAAGTCCATGTGTGAATGCAGAACACCGTGACTACTATCTAGCAGGCACTCGGTAAATGCGTCTATTCTTATCTTGATTTTCACAAAGTCACTGTTGGGTCACAACCTACAGCTCTCTGAGAACAAGAGAAACACCTCACAGAACTCTGCTTTTCTGGCTCTGCTATTAAACACCTCTGGCCCTTTAAATACGGCAGCGTGTTCCACTTGCTGTTCAACAGCCACAAATAACTACCAGGTGCTCCCCGTGTGCAGGAAACACTACAAGCTCAAGGTGTGGAGTTGGCCCTCAAGGGAATCACCCCCTCCATGAGGAGTCAAGTAAAAACAGGTACAGAAAATGGTGGGTCTCTCCTATCTGTCAGTTCCCATTAAATCAGAAGAGCTTGCAGAAGAAGCTTCCAGAGAGGGTCTTACCCTTTGGGGCAGGAGGCACGCCAACAGCCTCTTTGGGACCTGGACCTTGAAGAAAGGGTAAGATGTGAACATGGGGCGAAGCGCAGAGAGGCGTCCCACACCAAGAGCTTGGTGCACAGGGGAGGAGTGAGGGGAATTTAGCTTGGGGACCCTTGTTCTGTCTGTCTCCAGCTGCCTTTGTGACAGCCACCAAGATGGCGCGCGGGGGCTGGAGTGCGGCTCTGTAAGTGGGCACCGCCCGAGCGGCGTGAGCAGCTCAGCCTACAAGCCGGCTCGCCAGTTGGTGCAGAACCCGCTCCTACCGACATGCCGGCCCTTCTTGGCCGGCTGGGGAAGGAATCGCCTCAGAATTCGCTCCTGAAACAGATTTTCTCAATTTAAATTGGCTACAGTGGTGGTGTTAATCCCCTTGTTATGGGATTAGAATATATCACTGCACTGAGATTAGAGCCTGACAGATATGTTGGAGGAGTTTGGATTCAGTTCAAAGTTCCAAGCGACACGGTCTGCCCAGTCTGTTCTGAGGTCTTTGGCTGGAACAATGGCGCCACTTTGTGGCCACAATCATCTCTATTTCGGAGGGTTTCCTTCTGGGCACACCTCACAGCTCCTGAAGCCTTGCATGAGCTGGGACCAGGGATACAAGGATGACCAATGCAGGCTCGCTCCTCCCGCAGGGGGCCTGCAGGCTGGTGGCCTCACCAGTCCAGACCCCATGGACTCAGTCAACTACGGCCCCCAGGGACTGTCTGGTGGGCAGCATGGCCTGGCCTTTCTGAACCTGGAGCTGATCCTAAGGTAAATGCTACAGAGTGGGACTTCAGGGATTATAAAACGGCCTCTTGGACCCACCTACTGTCTAACACCTTAAGTCCCTTTCACAGTTGACAAAATCTGTTCCTCTGCTTACTTGTTCCTTCAGCATATCTTTACCATTTGCCTCCATGAGGCAGACACTATGCTTAGGGCTGAGTCACAGAAATGTTTAAGGACCAGCACCTACCTTCTACTAGAGGCCGAACAGATAAAGACAAGCCCCCCCGCTGTCCCCCTCGTGGACCTTGGAGCCCTCTCCCAGGCTGGCAGAGCCCTGCGTCGTCTTCCATCTCTCTTCCCCGACACAGTGCGCTCTGCCCCGCTCCCCACAGCTCCTTGGACACCCGCGCTCAGTCCTGCCACCTCACCTTTTCTTCTTGGCTGCTCCACCTGGAGGAAATGCCTTCTCTCTCTCCTCAGGGATGGCTGCTTCTGGAGGCTCCAGGCAGGAGGGCCAAGCTAGTGCTGTCAGAGAAAGATGACTTCCAACAGCAGGTACTGATGTGAGCGGCTTCAGCTCCAGGTGGACAGAGGATGCTAGACCTGGGGAGAATGGAGAGAGCGGCCCCAGGGCAGAGAGGGGAGGGGGCTTTCCACGAGCAGAGGCTCTGGTTCCACCCAGGGACTATAAGATAGGCTCAGAATAGTGAGCCGGTTTGCATCTAGCAGCTATTAGCATTAGAAAATGAGAAGACCGCGTGTTTTACCCTGACACTCAAGAAAAGGTAGGAGAGGGAGAGAGGGGAGTTCTGCAGATGGCAAGTGGTGAGGGGACTCTATGGGGTGAGGAGTGAGTGGAAATGTCCCTGGATGTGATGACCATAAGATAATGTAAGTATGGGAGTGACTAATGTCAAACCTTAGACTGACTGTGTAGACGGGTAGAAACCCGTCTTCAGCCCACCTCCACATCCTCCGGGAAGATTACTATGTTCGCAATAGTGGAAAACTTTGTGTGGATGTGTTTTACTTAGGCTCAGGATGTTACCTAAGAAAAGGAATGTGTTTTCATGTCTGGGTCAATGCTATGTCCCACGTAGAAAGCACCCATGGGCCACAGAACCTGAGTGACAAGGGGAAAATGGGCCCAAAAGCCCCCTGGAAATCCACCCCATCCAGAAGAGGACTATGAGCTTCCGCAGTTATGGAACACAGTTCTAAGCCAACCTGAGGCCACAGCAACTAAGAATCCAGCAGACGTCGGGTCCACCCGTGCATTTCTACATCCTTTTTCGAATGTAGAAATTACGGGCCCATTTTCTTGTCCATTGTTTCCCTGTTTTCTCTTGCTGACACCCTGGTCTTGAGATGTGTTGTTGTGTGGAGGGACTAGTGTAGTGTTATGAAATAAATAAAGGCTGTAGAGCTAGAAATGTGTGAGAGCCAGTCCCAGTTCCCTTCTTCCTATCAATATGACCTTAGCAAATTGCTCAACCTCTGTGAGCCTCAAGTCCACATCTAGAAGATGGGGTTGTTGGGAGGCTGAGAGATAATGTAGAGAAGCAATGTTTTCGAGGGGCAGCAGCTTCATCACTGTGGCTGCAAGCCCCTGGTATATTGTGGATATTACTTAGTGAGGAGCCGGGCCAAAGAGGGGAAAGGAAACCTGGTTTGGGTCGAGGAGTGATGCCCCCAAGACTAAATCAACAGCACAAGCTCTGAGAATGAGGTGGTGAGTGTGCGGGACTCAGATCTGGTCACAGCTCCACATGGAATCAGAAATACACGCTCTCTGTCCTTCACAGCCCCTTTTCATTTGTAGGTATTTATGGGCTTCAATGTCAGAACTTGAATTACAAGATGGCGGGAGTCCCTGAGCTTGCTATCCATTTGTGGGGTGAATCTGGGCTCTTGCTAGCAATGCAATGGACATCTCTTGGGTTATCTTCCTACTATTGCTTTTCTAGAAATTCATCCTTCCTCACCCCATCCATAGAGTTGCAGCCAAAGTTCCATGTTAAAGTGTGACCTACCCCCTGCTTACAGTGGACTGGTCTGGGGAGGGATGCTGCATTCGGGGAAGAGGGCAGACTCTCTCTAGATGGCTGGGCTGTAGCATGGACCCTTGGGAGCTGGTAGAGGTGACCACGTCCCACCACGAGAACTGGGAAACTGAGAAAGCTGGACTACAGCAAGACAGAACAGCAAAGAGAGAAGCATGAATAAGTGACACAGAGCAAAGACTCCCGGCTTGGAACAGCACCCCAGGCCAGCTCTGGTCCTGCTGCCTGGCTTTATTTCTGAGGCTGGATTCAGCCACACATCCTGAGATTCTCCCAACCAAGTCCGTTTTCACTCAGAGTAGATGGAGTGGAATTTCCAGAGCCGACATCCAGAATAGGCCCAACTACCGTGCAAACCAAGGTTGCATTTGGAGGAGAGGAAGGACGATGATGTTGAATGCACATCTCCCCAGATGATGAAGGAATTGCCTCCAAGCTCAGCAGGTGGGACGACCTACTCTGTGTTGTACACCTTATCAGCTGACGCTTCCCGTGGATGATAACTCCGTTCAGGCACAGCAGTAACATTTACTACTTAACAGGCTGCTTGTAGAGATTTCCCTCCGCAATGAGAATCTTTCCTATTACAGGAGAAAAATGAAAGGGGAGTCATTTATTCCATATGAAAAACAGTCGCTTTAAAAAATGGAAACACTGTCAATCAGGCTGAACCACAAGCTGTGATTAAAGCTTCCAGACTCCTGCCCGTTAGTGTGAGCACATCTGAATTTCAGCCCAACGCTGAGACTGCAGCACAGGACGTCTGATGGATTCCACCTTTAACATAACGCCAGACATGTCGTAAAAGTAAAATACTTATTGCCTAAGTTCAAGCAAATTTTGGTCTTTTATTCAGGTAACAGTCACAGCACCTCATTAACAAGCTTAACTCAAAACTACGTCTCCCTAATCACAGAAATGAAGATAAAGCTGGAGTCATTATCGCTGTTCTGCTGGTGCATGAAGTATGGTTTATGGAAGAGAAGCTGGACATTTCTGGAAAGGGCAAGTTTCTCTCCCAGCCACTGCTCTGTGGCCACGATGGATTTGTTTTGCTCTTTCAATCCAAACAGTGACTGAGCCCCATGCGCTGGGGGCTGGAAATAAAAATGAGACGTAGTCCCCGCCCTCAAGGAATTCACCTGCTCGTGACCCATGCCCTCAAGTAGGGGGACAATTAGCTTTAACCAGGAGGCTGTGGGCACATGCAGGAGAGGCCTGGGGTGGGAGGGGCTGTCAGGCGAGGCTCCGAGGATGAGCAGGTTCGTCCTCAGAAGAGGAGGAAGGCCCCTCCAGGTAGGAGAGCAGTAGATCAGGGCCCGGCTGGGAGGAGCCTGGCACGCTGGGGGAAGACTGCGTCCAGTGGGCAGCTCTCCACCTGCCCACGCTCACCCGGGGGCATGCAGCGACCTCTTCCCAGCGCCTGAGAGGCCCAGGAATTGAGGAGCATTCCTGCCCTGAGTGGCAGGGGTGCCCTGAAGGGTAGGCAGGCCTGAACACAGGACAAGAGAAGCGGACGAGAGACCCATGTCTCCTCAGTGATCCAACATGTGTCCAGAGACGGCTCTGGTCCCACTGTTGAGACACGCAAGGAGGAGGTTTGAGGGTTTTAGCCCAATGCTCAGATGGATTGAAGGGAGTGGCCAGGAAAGGACTCAACTCAAAACCTATCCACTTTGACCTCTCAGTGACAGGTGCCATTGCTGACCCCAGGCTGGGGCCTCTGCTGACCTCAGAGGTGGTGGGATCACCACTTCCTAGGAGCTCAGGACATCTTCAGTGAATCCAATCCTTCTTTGGTACCCCTTCCCCAACATTCATCAGCAATTCCTCACACCTCTGCCTCCAAAATATACCCCACCCAGTGATGCCTGTCCTCCTCTCTGCCACCACCCCAGTCCAGGCCACCATCAGCTCTCATCTGGACAGCTGCAACAAAGGGGCGTGGTGTTCCATTATGAGCCATATCACAGTGCTCCCCTACTCAGGACCCTCCAAAGAATTTTCTTCCCACTTGTAATAAATCTAAATAAGCTCTTTTCCTCAGGCTACGGGCCCTACCTGTTGGGTGAGACGTCCAGTCTCACCTTAGAGCACCCCATGGTGCTCACTAGGCCCAGCCCCATCACCCCTCTTTCTGGGCCAGCTTTGCTCTAGCTCTTCCCTATGCCTGGAATGTGCTTCTCATCCAACGTTACTGCCTCAAGAAGCCAATGCAATGCCTAATTGATCGTCTTCACACAACTTACCACTGTTTCCTAATGGTCTGCTCTCCCATCCCTGCTACACCATAGGCCCCGTAAGAGGAGGACTTGTACATCTGCAGTCTTCACGACTGTATTCCGAGAACATGACCCATCCCACAAAGGGTGCTCCATGCGTGTTTGCTGACTGAATGAGTCAGTATGTCTGCCAATACCCCTCAAAGCTTTGGACCCTGTAGAAGCCATGGCCCCTGGAATTTGCCAGGCCAGGGCAGTGCTGTCCTTTAGACCACTCTGATGCCAGGGAGGGGTTCATGAGCCCCAAGGACTCCCAAGAAATGGGATCAAAGGCCTGCATTCCATCTTGGTCAAGTCTTCATGATGGAGCCCTCAGACCTCTGCCTCTGTGCTCATCACTCTACTTTGTGACTGTGCAGTGTTAGTCAGGGTTCTCGAGAGAAACAGAACCAACAGGAGGTGGACACGTAGACAGATAGATAGGTAGACAGATACATAGATACATACACAGATAGATGATTGATAGATAATAGATGGATAGATACATAGATACAAAGATACATAGATGAATGATGATAGATACATAGATACATAAATAGATAGATAGATGATAAATACATACATACATACATGCATAGATACATAGATACATAAATAGATACGTAGATAGATGATAGACACATACATACATATATAGATGGATGATAGATACATACAAACATACATAGATAGATAACATAAATACATAGATATATACGTAGATAAATAGATGATAGATACATACATACATAGATAGATACATAGATAGATAGATGATAGATTGATAGGTAGGTAACACATAAATATAGGATATATAGATTTATTGTAAGGAATTTGCTCACATGGTTATACAAGCTGAGAAGCCCAGAAGAGCCAATGGTGTAAGTCTAGTCTGAAAGCCAGTGGGCTCAAGATCTAGGAAGAGCTAACATTTCAATTCAAGTCCAAAAGCAGGAAAAAACAATATCTCACTCAAAGGCAGTCAGGCAGGAGGAGTTCCCTCTTAGTCAACCATTTTGTTCTATTCAGGCCTTCAACTGGTTGGGTGAGGCCCACCCACATTTGGGAGGGCAAACCTGCTTTACTCGGGCTACTGATTCAAATGTTAGTCACATCCAGAAACACCCTCACAGATGCACCCAGAATAATGTTTGGCCAAATGTCTGGGCACCCCATGGCCCAGGCAAGTTGACACATAAAATTAACCATCTATCTGTTCTCTCCCCCACTGAATGTGAGTCACTTGAGAAGAACTGGGTCTGGTTTATCTCGGAATCCTGAGAATCAGGTTTAACGTCTGAAAACTGGTAGGTGCTCAGCAAATGTTTGTGGAACGAATGAATGAATCTCTAATTCCCAGTCCCTAGCCCCAGGTCAGCTCTAAGTCAAGGCTCATAAACTTGGTCAAATCAAAGTGCCTCTGTGCAAAGGACAGAAAGATCAAGGTGATGTCAAAGCCTGGACCACCAGGCTTTCCAGAGCATATCATTCAGACAACGAGAACTCACCCGGGGATCTCAGCAGAGACCAAGCGCAGACAGGCAATTTTAGAGCTCAGCATCTGGACTCTACCCACTGGCCCTCAGCCCTGATGGCTTTGCCAGTTCTGACCTGAGACCCTCGTCAGGAACAATGATCCCTGGTGGTCTCAGTCTCCACCTCTGTGAAGTGAAGGGGACATTAGTAGCTTCTTCAGAGATTGTTGTGAAGATCAAATGCAATAATCTATGTACAGCAAGTGTGAATTTGTTTCATGACACTTGGAGAAATATAGGCTTCGTTATTTTCTGAATCAGATAAATTTGACTTGATTGCAAGAAATTCAGATAAGTAAAATCATACATCAAGAACTCCCACAACTCAACAACGAAAAAATAAAGAACCCTGTTAAAAAATGGGCAAAGGACTTGAATAGGCATTTCTGCAAAGAAGATGTGTTACAAATGGCCAACAGGCACATGAGAAGATAGGCAACATCACTAGTTATTAGGGAACTGCAAGTGAAAACTGCAGTGAGATACCACCCCATGCCCATCAGGATGATGACTATCAAAAAAAAAGAGAAAATAGGGGCCGGCCCCTTGGCCGAGTGGTTAAGTTCACATGCTCTGCTTCGGCAGCCCAGGGTTTCGCTGGTTTGGATCCTGGGCGCGGACATGGCACTGCTCATCAAGCCATGCTGAGGCGGCATCCCACATGCCACAACTAGAAGGACCCACAACTAAAATATACAACTATATACTGGGGGGATTTCAGGAGAAAAAGCAGGGGAAAAAAATATATTGGCAATAGTTGTTAGCTCAGGTGCCAATCTTTAAAAGAAAAAAGAGAGAGAGAGAGAAAATAATAAGTGTTGGTGAGAATGTGGAGAAATTGCAACACTTGTACACTGTTGGTGGGAATGCAAAATGGTTCAGCCGCTATGGAAAACAGTATGGTAGTTCCTCAAAAAATTGCAAATAGAATTACTATATGATCCAGCAATTCTATTTCTAGCTATATATTCAAAAGAATTGAAAGCAGATCTCAAAGAGATAGTTGTACACCCATGTTCATAGCAGCATTATTCATAACCCCAAAACACGGAAGCAACCCATGTGTCCATCAACTGACAAATGGATGAGCAAAATGTGGAATATACATACAACGGAATAGTATTCAGCCTTACAAAGGAAGGAAATTCTGGGCCCAGCCCAGTGGCTGAGTGAGTGGTTAAAGTTCTGCACGCTCCACTTTGGCAGCCCAGGTTCATGGGTTCAGATCCCAGGCATGGACCTACTCCACTCACCAGCCACACTGTGGAGGTGTCCCACATACAAAAAAATAATAAAAAAGAGGAAGATTGGCACAGATGTTAGCTCAGAGCTAATCTTCCTCAGCAAAAAAAACAAAGAAATTTTAAAAGGGAGGAAATTCTGACACATGCTACAACATGGATAAAACTTGGGGACATCATGCTGAATGAAATAAGCCATCACAAAAGAACAAATATTGTATTATTTCATTTATACGAGGTATCTGAAGTAGTCAAATTCATAGAGACAGAAAGCAGAATGGTTGCCACCAGGGGCTGGGGGGAGGGGAACGGGGAGTTGCAGTTTAATGAGCATAGAGTTTCAGTTTTGCAAAATGAAGAGCATTCTGGAGACTGATTGCGTAACAGTGTGAATGTAACACCAATGAACTGTACACTTAAAAATTGCTCAGATGATAATTTTTATATTACCTGTATTTTATCACAATTGCAAATTTTTAAAATAAATAAAATCATATTAATGCTGCCAATGATAAGAGGAAATAGGGCCTTTACGGCTTCAGGT